ATGCCAATTCTACAGATTAATGACATCAAACGACGCAGCCGTACAATAACCACTTACGTTACTAAACCTCTGAATGACGAGGCCTGAGAGCTTATCCGCCCAGGCGCATGGCTGTAGTCCAAGTGTATTCGGAGATATATTACAACTTTTGTACTGGAAATGGTCCATGGAACACAATATTTTTGATCCCATGCCCTCCCAGCTACAGACGGCGACATTTTAGAATTACTTCATGTCCGTATCGACGTTGCGCAGTCAAACACTTTTCGTACAAGACGGGTACCAGCCCCAGCATCAAATATGGTAATAGCAACTTTATTTCTCAGGAGGAAAGGGGGTTAAATCATTGTCGGCACTATTGAAGCACAAGTCAGGCTCCTTCAAAATGCTGCGCTGCGTCGCCAGGAGCCGAGCGCCTCCCGCCACTAGTGCGGGGCGATTACAGGTCGGTAGCTGAGCTCAGACTTTGACCAGTGACTGGAGCTGCTGGCTCGAAGTAAGAGCAGCGGTGCTTGCAGTAAAAGCAGGAGTAGGAGGGCTTCGTGCTGTTGGGACATAGTCTCGCAGAAAGTTGGCGCGTTGCGTTTGCAGGACAAGGTCCAAGCGACTCGATAGACGCGTGTGTGTTTCACAGAGACTTGTTCAGAATGAGAATCCAAGCTTGGAGGAAAGCTGTAGCAGCGAAGGTGAAGTATCCCGGACGGGATCGAGCCCCAGATCTTCGGTTTATGATGCCAATGCTCTACCATTGAACTATTAGTATGAGGGCGATGCATGCCCGTAAGCTTGACCGCTTACGGATCCTTGCTCATGATATCAGAGGGATACACCTGAGTGGGATCGAACCACCGACCTCTCGCTTGCGAAGCGAGTGCTCGACCACTGAGCTATTGCCCGCGACTATAATGAGTCGAGAGCCTAGCTTTAATCCGTCTTGCAGGCTCCTAGAGCAGGCGCGGCGCATCCAGGATTGTCTAAATTCACTTGAAATCTGGAAGCGCTACGCTCTGGTGTAATTGGGCCGTGGGCCCGGAGCGATGAGCTAGCCATCTGCGATGCGAACGCGTCTGCGAGCTCACGGAGCAGCGGAATGCAAGGTCGCGGTGCGACCAACGACGCATTGGAAAGGCGTGACCTCGCTGAAGCGGTTTCGAGAACGAGGGTGTTCTCATCTTAGTGGGGGAGGGTACAATGTGGTTACACATTGTGGGACACATGGGGTACAGAGTACCGGAGAGTTACAAACTTAAAGTACATAACTCGAAGAGCTAACCAAGACTCTCACTACGTGGGCTGAAAGCGACTCGATACGCACTAGATTAGTGTAACGGGGTTACATGGTGTGGAACACACAGAGGTACGAAGTACCCGGAGAGTTAACAAACTCTCAGTACATAAGTTGGAGAGTTAACAAGGTCTCTCAGTACGTTGGCTGAAAGCCACACGTTATGCATTTGATTAGGTTTAACTATGCTAGATAGTTAAAGAGATACATTTACCCCTAGGCGGCTTGGCCGCAATAATAGTAAATAAAACACTTCTGGTTTTGAAGCATAAAAGTTAAGGTATTAACTTTGAGCCCTGGTCTTGGGCTGTAAGTTCCTTTGGATAAGGAACTTAGTATTAGTGACTCTTTGAGTCGAACGTCTTCCTCTGACGCTAAAGCTACGGCAGCCCCGCTGCACTTGGTAGCACTTGTAGTCAATCCCGCTCCTGAGTCGGTTGACTATATCCTCTGCGAGGATGGAGCACCCCGTGTTCGCGAATTTGCCCCCGGTGCAGCAGGACGCGCTTACTAAGCTTATGTCCTTGCTTGGCCCGGAGGGCGTGGCTCATCTTGCATCGCAAGGTCCAGAGGCGGTCACTGCCAGGCTGGAATCGTTCTCCCGCTACGAGAACACGCTCTTGGAGCATGTACAAGAGAAGATGAGCGCCGCAACGGCGGCGGCGTCGATGACGCGTGAAGAGTCTATGAGACTGAAACCGCTCATGGTGAGCGTAAAAACCTTCGAGGGGAAGGATGGAGAGAATCTCCTTCTCTGGACCCGTGAGGTCGAGATGGCCATGGGATCGGCCCTGCTCCAGTCTGAGCATCAGCGCGTGGCGCTGGCTATCTCCAGGCTTGGAGGTCGCGCTCGCGAATGGGCACTAACGTGCGGCACGTCTGTTGACGCTGCATTTCCCACTTGGGATCAGCTGAAGCAACAGCTTTCGCGCGTGTTCGCGCCGTCTAATCAGGCGTACCGTATCCGGTCGAAATTCCTTGCTATTCGCCAGGGTAAGAAGGAGTTATTGGACTATGTCCAAGAGTTGAGAACTCTTATCGCGCGGAATGGCGGCGGACCCTCTTCCGGAACCTGGTCAGCG